GTGTGTCGCACATTTGAATAAGTGTTGTTAAAGTTGAATGCTTAGGCCGAAAGCCAGATTGATGTTTAGATAGCAGCGAATTATCATTCAAAAACTTATAAATCTGGTTGAAAACCGATCTGTCTAGTATTTTACTGACAATAGGCAATATAGATATCGGTCGGTAATTTTCACATCTTTGTCTATTATCAGATTTAAAAATTGGCATTACCCACGCCTTTTTCCATTCATCAACATATATCCCAGTTTTGATTGAAAGATTATAAATCCATGTTAATGAAGGACCAATAACTTCCGCGGACAATTTAAGAGCTATAGCAGGGATGTTATCAATACCGGTAGACTTTGAAATTTTAAGATTACGTAATTGACAAATAATATCATCCATACTAATTTCAGAAAACTTAAAATTTATATTAGAGTAATAGTTAGAGTGGTAATTTTAATCATCTGAAAAGTTCGTACATGGAGAATCGTTCTCAATTTCATTAGCCAAATTTACCCCGATGTTAACAAAGAAGTCATTAAACGCCTCAGCTTTCAAAGTATCATCTGAAATCACAACATCATCACATTTAAGTTGAGAGATATTATTTGATTTTTTGTTTTTACCTAAGAGAATATTAATTAACTTCCAACTATGTTTCATATCTTTCGATTGTGTGCAGTTCTCAAATTTGTTACAGAAAAATGCTGTTTTAGCTTTAGTTAGTTCTGAATTGACTTTGTTACGTATTTCTTTGAATTTCTCCCAGTGAATCTGGGAATTATTTTTAACAGCCATTTTCTTGTAAGAGTCCCTAACCCTCATCAGATTTTTGATATCAGGGGAAATCCAAGGAATAGAATTTCCTCTAAGTCTCGCATGTACTAGCATTCCAAAGGTCGTAGCCGTAGGTTCGATTCCCACTGTGGCCAGGCATATTTTTCAAGCTTGTCTGGTGTGGATATACACCATAGATATCTCTATGATATACACTCAGAGTAACATCACAAACATGACAATAAGTTTTAATTTTACAAGTACAGTACAACAACAGTTAAATTATCAAGGGCCTTGTCAGGTATAAGCTAATATGATCTATTAGCAATTCGATTTCAATACCCAGGGGTCTATGCTTAAGAATTGCAAAGTGGATTTTTTAGGAAATTCCGAGGTTGCGTTTTTTTTATACACCCTGTAGGCCTACAGGGTGTCTAAAACAAAGTGAACCTTTAGAAATCACCCTTTTGTTGTAAACACCCAAACTTCATGCATTACCTCTGGGAGTTTAAAATACATTGTAATCGTACGAGCATATTAAAACCGCATGAATTGTCCATGCATGAGAATTCTAATTGAAAGTTACAACGACTTAGAAATTAGTCCCGTCAGTTCGATTAAAAATGGTTCAACTAAAGAGTTTTTACTGTTTTACGCGCTGCGTTAAATTAATCAGCACATAATCATATTCATATGTTGAACGATACTAAAAACTTTTAAATAACCCCCTATGCATAAAATTCGATTCGATTAGCCTTTCTCACGGCCGATTTTCCCGCCATTTTGGGGGTACTGCCTCTCTCACGTTTCAGGGCGTAGGAAGATCGATAATTGGGGGGGGGGGG